ATGAGGGGTCTTCAAGAAGTTCATGGAAAATGTCTATTGTATGCACAGATTGCATCATTTTTTGCACCAAAATAAAGTTATTTTTTTAAAATTTCACTTCTCTAGAGCTTTTTGAAGTATCTTTGTACATCTGTGCATTTGGGATTTTTTTTAAGATTTATTTTATTTATTTGAAAGAGTTACAGAGAGAAGTAGAGACAGAGAGAGAGGTCTTCCATCCATTGGTTCACTCCCCAGATGGCCACAATAGCCAGAGTTGCACCCATCCAAAGCCAGGAGCCAGGAGCTTCTTCCAGGTCTCCCACGTGGGTGCAGGGGCCCAAGGACTTGAGCCATCTTCTACTGCTATCCCAGGCCACAGCAGAGAGCTGAATGGGAAGATGAGTAGCCGGGACTAGAACCAGCACCCATATGGGATGCCAGCGCTTCGGGCCAGGGCATTAACCTGCTGCGCCACAGTGCCGGCCCCAGATTTTTTTCTTTTACTTTGAGAGGCAGAGAGGAAGAGAGAGAGAGCAAGCGAGTGCACTCCCCTCCACTGGTTGACACCCCAGATACCCACAATGGCCAAGGCTGGGTAGACAGAAGCCAGGAGCTGGGAATTCAATCCAGGTCTCCCATTTGGCTGACAAGAAGACAAGGTAATGGAGCCATCACTTTCTGTCTTTGACAATCTGCATGAGGCTTGAACACAAGCACACAAGTATAAGACACTAGCATCCCAACCAGTGTCTGGATGGCAGAGCCAAAAGCCTGCCCAACTTTATGTTTGTGATAAGGAAGAACTATTCATCTCGTCAAAAATATTAATAAAATTTTTAAGGCTCTTGTTCTTCAAAATCTGAGCTTGAGGAAATTTCAAATAAATGGGTTGGAAATTTTATATAATTACTAATGTGCTCAATACAAGGACACAAAGATCTAGGCATGTAGTTGTAAAGGCAGACTTGTAATTGGTGACAGCTGAGTAAGGAGAGTGAGGCCAGTCCTTTTTTTTTTTTTTTTTTTCAGGCAGAGTGGACAGTGAGAGAGAGAGACAGAGAGAAAGGTCTTCCTTTGCCGTTGGTTCACCCTCCAATGGCCGCCGCGGCCAGCGCGCTGCGGCCGGCGCACCGCACTGATCCGATGGCAGGAGCCAGGAACCAGGTGCTTTTCCTGGTCTCCCATGGGGTGCAGGGCCCAAGCACCTGGGCCATCCTCCACTGCACTCCCTGGCCACAGCAGAGAGCTGGCCTGGAAGAGGGGCAACCGGGACAGAATCCGGCCCCCCAACCGGGACTAGAACCCGGTGTGCCGGCGCCGCTAGGCGGAGGATTAGCCTAGTGAGCCCCGGCGCCGGCCGAGGCCAGTCCTTTAACTTCAAGTTTTCAGGTTGTTCATTTGGCCCAGAGAGCTTGCTGCAACACAGAGGGCTGGGGCCCACTCCCAGCGTTTCTGATTCGGTGGGTCTGGGGTTGGGCTGAGAGCTTGCCTTTCTAGCAATTTCCCTGGTGATGCCAATGCTGATTATTTGATAACCAGCCATACTTTGAAGACCCCAGTAACACCTAGAAGTTAATAGGGCATTGGTCCCTATGCTGTGGCTACTGAGTGTGTGTTATTGTGAAGTTGTGGGAAAGACCCCATAAAACCATTTGGGCCCAGACCTTTTGGGGGAATGTTGTTCAGATAGGAATTAGCTTTTTGCATGGTTATGGCCTCATCAAAGATCTTCACTTCTTGAGTCAATTTTATTTAATTGCATTTGTTTTACAACCTTCCATTTCTCTGAGATTTGGAAATCTCTCAGCATTAAATTTATGTAATGAATGCATGTAAATATTTCCATTTCCTCCTGTCCCATGAGTCTGGTTTCTTGGCTGTCTGGTTGCTCAGCACTGACTGGCTGCCCCACCCTATAGCTGCTATAACCAATGGCCCTTCAAGACAAGGTGGCCTTTTTGGAGGACATGGCCACACCTAAGGTCACTCTATGGCGTTGAGGGCATGGCTTGCAAGTGCTGTGACTCGGGCTCTGACCGGTGCACATTAGTCCTGGAAATTCCCTCTTGGGAAGGTTCAGGAAGCAGGTGCAGGACCTTACCCTGGCTGTTTTCATAACAGCTTGCTCCTTCCATACCTTCCTCTTCTCTCAGTTCCTGGACATTGCGGCAGTTCATTCAACAAGTTCCTGCCACAGGTGTTTATGGAGGTCATGTGAGGTGCCAGGCCCTTGGCGCTGGGACACAGTGGTGATGGGATGGATATGGCTGTGCCTAGAGGGGCTTGGTCACAAGATCACACCCAAAAAGAAATCATGACTGCATCTTGCAGTAGGGCTCTGGAAGAGAAGCAGGGGGCTGGAAGGAAAAATTTGGAGAAAGCGTAGTTGCACCCGCCCTGGACTTTATCCTTTGCTCGCTCCAGGAAACCACTCAGTTGTTTTTCATCTCTGTGGTTGGCTTGGCCTCGTTCTGTGTTAGCACTCAGCTTCAGAAGTGCTGAGGAGCGCTGTTTTCTCAGAACTTCCCGGATCTGCTTAGGATCTCAGGACTCAGGTGTGCTCACCCTTCGTGACCCTGGCCCTGGGCCATGCCCTTCCCTCCGGGGCAGGGGGAGCCACGGCACTCGTGGCAGGGGGAGCCACAGCACTCGTGTCCGGAAGTGTTGGGGCCCTTCCCCCAGGAAAGAAAGTCCTTTGTACGTAGACCTGAAATCTGCATGGTGCCCTCCTGCCAAAACCACGCTTTCCCTGCTCCGGTGCCAGAGCTGTGCCCACCCTGCTCCGCAGCACCTCTCAGGTTCTGTGGGGCTGCGGTTTGAACAGCCCAGAATGAAGAGCACCTTCCTCACCAGGTGCCCCCTCGGCCTCTGTAAGTGACACTTACTTAAGGCAGAGCCTGCTAAACACGTCTCAAAGTGGAGGAGAGTGTTCTGCCTGTTTTCACACAAGGCCACAACAGACAAGTGAGATTTCATTTGGCTTCTGTGCATTTCATAGCCACTTCTACAACCTTGCAAGTGGACACCATCGGCCCATTCTACAGCTCAGGACTGTGGAAAACATGAAGGAGGGGGAAGCAGTCATTGTTGTCCAGAGAAAGGGCAGGATCTACTGCAGGGATGAAAGACACCTGTTAAGGTTATGGGAACGTGGGGGCACTTCTCAAATTTACTGGGGAATGGAACTAAAAGATATGTTTAGTGTGACAAAAAGTTTTGAAATTCATGCATGGTTTTTTTATAATATGCACTTTCTGTGAACTTGTTGAACTACCCTTGTACTCTACACCCTGACTTGGATGCCAGTTAGATGCCTGTATTTCTTTCTCAAAACCCAAACTTTGGGGCTGGCGCTGTGGCGTAGTGGGTTAACACCCTGGCTTGAAGCGCTGGCATCCCACATGGATGCTGGTTCGAGACCCGGCTGTTCCACTTCCAATACAGCTCTCTGCTGTGGCCTGAGAGGGCAGTAGAAGGTGGCCCAGGTCCTTGGGCCCCTGCACCTGTGTGGGAGACCTAGAAGAAGTGCCTGGCTTCTGGCTTCAGATCGGCACAGCTCTAGCCGTTGCGGCCAACTGGGGAATAAACCATCGGATGGAAGACCTCTCTCTCTTTCTCTGCCTCTCCTCTCTCTGTGTAACTCTGACTTTCAAATAAAAATAAATAAATATTTAAAAAAACAAACTTTACACATCAACAAGATGGATTTTATTGCATATAAATTGTATCTCAAGGCTGATTTAAAGGAGGAGGCATTTGGTCTAGTGGTGAAGACACCAGCTCCCACATCAGAGTACCTGGGCTTGGTTCCCAGCTCTGAATCCAGCTTCTGGCTGATGCACACCGCGGGAGGCAGCGGTGATGGCTCAAGTAGTTGGGTTCCTCTCTAGACTTGGATTTTGTTTCCAGCTCCCAGATTTGGCCTCAGCCCAACCCCAGCCACTGTAAGCATTTAGGGAGTAAATCAGTGAATGAGACTCTTGCTCTCTATCCGTCTGCCTCTCAAACAAAAATAAATTAATTAATTTAAAAACCAGATTTTTTTTAATGAGCCAGTTTGGGAAGGATTCGAAAAAGTATCCTAGGGTATAGCCAAGATGAGGAAATGCAGCAGTCTAGTAACAGAGTACAGCATGGAACCAGACAGGGTGTACAGACACTGGCTTTGTATGTTTTATTAGGTTTTTTTGTTATGATAACAAAAATACCCAAGGCTGAGAATGTACAAAGAAAAGTAGTCTCTTTAGCCTCCAGCTTTAGAGGCTGAAAACCCAAATAACACAGCAGTGGCTCACGAAGGCCCCTCTGCCTGCATCACCTCATGCTGGGTGGCATCCTGGTGGAAGCGTGTATGAGAGGAGGTGATCACATGGCCAGACAAGAGGCCAGAGCAAGGGGAGAGGCCAGTACCAACCACCACAGGGGGGTCCATGCTTGGAGGACATACTCACAGCACGTCAGCACTACAGCATGCAGGACGTGACTTCACTGGCTGCTCCAGGGTCCACCCACTGAGCTGCTTGGCCCCAGGTAAACCCTTACTCATTCCTCAGCCAACCTACCATCAGACTCCAGCTAGACTCAAACCTTTGAATCTAGCACATGCACGTGTATACCTGTGGTGGGGGGGCGGGGAGGGTGGGAGCCTGCTTGCACATGCAGTTGGATATGAGGGCAGACAGAGCTAAAACGTAGAGTTAAACCTGAAGGTATAGAGTAGAGAGCAGGATTCTGGACTGGAGTGAGCAGGTTGTCCAGGGATGCAGTGACCTGAAGACATCCCTCAATAAAGTGTCAAGGCTGCTGAGGTTAAGGGCAGGAGCTGGAGATGTCCCTTGTGCATGTACAAGAGACCAAGGTAGTTGTGCATAGAGGTCCTCTCAAGCAAGAGTAGCAGAGACAGGCTCCCGCGATGTTATCACAGTGCCAAATGCTGCAAGTAGGGATGATCCCCTGTGCTAGAGCAGGAGGGTCGTCCTGCGCAGGTGCCCTCATTAATCGGTGAATTCTCTCTGAAGGGCCACTGGATCGTGGGATCAGAGTCCAACACGGAGCCTGCATGTACCAGCAGCTCTGCTTCCACAGGTAAGACGTACCCATGAGTGGGAAAGCAGAGTACCTGGGCGAGACACTCGGGGCTGCCTCCCTCTGTTGGGCATCCATGGATTTGCACTCTCCCCTTGCACATCCAAGAACCAGCTGGACGAGTTCTGGGGAAAGTCCTTATGCAGTAGGGATTGGAATTGCCTCCAGCACCTGACTTGCTTGACTCCCTCAGGCATGTGTCATATCTTCCTTTGTCACTTCTTTTGTGTTGTCCCTGTCTTGGTCCATTAGGGCTGCTCTGGATAACAAAATGCCACACCCTAAATCCTTGCTAACAGCAGAAATTTATTTCTGACGGTCCTGGAGGCTGGAAGGTCCAAGATCAATGCAGCTTCAGTTTTGGTATCTAGTGAAGTCGTTTCTGGTTCAGAGATGGTGCCTTTTGGCTGGGTCCCAACATGGTGGAAGGGACAGGGCAGTTCTCTGGAATTTTTTAATAAGGGCATGAATCCCATTCATGAGGGCTCTGATCACCTTCCCAGGGCCCGACTTTTTACACTGTCACTTGGTGATTGCAGTTCAATGTAGGACTATGGGAGTGGGACACAAATATTCAGAGCAGTCCCTTAGTGAATGTTGTCATCTGCTGCTTCGCACATCACGTCTTTGGCTAGGTTTATTTCTAGGCATGTCTAGGTTTGGTTGCTATTGAGAATGGGATTTTAATTTGTTCTTTGAATTTCTGCATGGCCATCCCTGGTTGATGGCAATGCTATTGATTTTCGGTTGTTGATCTTGTGCCTGATTACTGTGGGCTCCATCTATGGACTTTACATGTATGAACTTAATTAACGGTTGTAGCAACCCTGGGTGTGTATTAATAGCATCTCTAATTTACAGTGTGAAAAAGAGGCCACAGCAAGGTTGTTTCCTTGTAGACATCTCTTAGATTTTCCAGATAGATGACTTTATTGCCTTTAAATAATGACAGTTATTTCTCTCCTGTTCCAAAACGTATGCTTACTCTTTTTCCTGGTTCACTTGCATCGGCTCAGACTGATACTGAGTAGCACCTGCAGGAACACACAGTCTTGTGTATTTTCTCACTTCAATGGGAATTCTTGTTGTGTTTCCCCTACTTAAACATTTCCCGCAGGTTCCCAGGGGAAAAAAAAAAAAAGCTGTCCAATTAAAGAAGATAGCATCTATACATGAAGGACTGTGAATGTTTACCATGAATTACTTTTGAATTTCACTCAGTGTTTTTTCAGCATCTGTGGAGATGAATGTATGTTTTCCCCCCTTTAATCTGTTAATGAAATGAATGACATTGATGGTTTTTCTAACATTAAATTATCCTTGCATTCCTGCACTAATCTCTACTTGGCATTTTTTTAAACGTGCTGCTGAATTTGACTTGCTAATCAGTATTTTATTTAGGATTATTTCCATCTGTTTTTCCATGAGATAGGCTGTAATTTCTCTTTCTTCTGGTGCTTTGGATCGGGTTCTGTGTCAGCTTTGTCTGTTTTAGAAATGACTCTGTAGGTAACAAATAACTATCAGTGACAAGTGGCAGTGACCATGGCTAGGCTGCTGGCCTGCCTCCAGTTTTCCAGTCTCTGTTCTGTTGGCCTTCACTCCTGAAGGCAAGATGGCTCTCTTAGCACCAGTGCCCTGTCCACACAGGGACAGGCCAGATGGCTTCTCTCTGGGTCAACAAGGTGACAGCTTGCCCTGAAGCTCCTATTTCCGTGGCCAGATCTGTCATGGGTTGTCTCTAGCTGCAAGGGAGCCTGGGCAAGGGGCTGTTTGTTTTTCTCAGCCTGTTGGAGTGGATTCAGGCAAGAATGGAGGCATGGGTGTGAGCGGTGGGTTCATCACCTGCAGAAGTGGTCATAGCCGACCTCCGTGCTCCCAGACAAGTACATGAGATGGCTCAGTAGAGGTCGCCCCCAGCCTGTCTCATCCCAGTAATATTTTATGCACAGATCTTTGAATACACTTTCAGGGTATTTTAAGCTCACTGAGCTCCTCAATTTGTCTACTTTTTCTAGGGCTGAGTTTCATTATTATTTTTCTAGACAGTTGTGCCTTTCAGTAAGCATGTCATTAAGCGTTTGGTCCAGCAGCTAAGATGCTGGTTCATCCTCCTGGATTGGAGTACCTGGGCTTGACTGTCAGTTCCAACTCCTAACTTCCACTTCCTGCTAATGCAGACCCTGGCAGGATGGTTCAAGCAAGTGAGGCCTGCCAACCTCAGAGGAGATCTGGATCGGGTTCCTGGCTCCCAGCTTTGGCCTGGCCCTGCTCCAGCCATTGTCATTTGGGGAGTGAATCAGCAGACGGGAGCACCCTCTTTCTTTCTCACTGTCTTGTCTGTCTCCCTGCCTCTCAAATAAATTAATTTTAAAAAGTAAAATGTGGCAATAATTGTATATGGCATGTTCTTATGATTTTTAAGATTCTCCTTTTTTGCCTAAAGTTAAATTCCTTTTTTTCCTGAAACGGTTGTGTGTGCCTCTCCCTCCCCATTCTCTCTCTCTTTCTCTCTTTCAGTTGTCTCTGGCCAGTTTCATGAGTCTGTGGGAAGATTAAGCTTTGGGTTTAATGAATAAACTGATGAAATTTAAAAATACAAACATAATTTCTTCTTTTATCAATTACTTTTTTCCTTCTTTGCTGTTTTTGTTTTTCCTTCCCTAGAATTCAGTGTTCATGACTTAGTTAATCTGTTTTCATTTTCGTTATGAAATGTCTCAAAACCACGGAAAGTGATGGAACAAGATAATGAATATTCACCACTGTAATTTGGCAAATTGAATAAATTTAATATGATGCTGTGATTTATTTTAGGTTTTTAAAATTATGTTTAAATTCCCTTTTTACTCTTTTCAAATTCCTTTCTTCCCTGCATCCTTTACTGTGTGCTATTTAGTTTTGTTTTTTTTTTTTTTAAGATTGATTTGTTTATTTGAAAGGCAAAGTTTCAGAGAGGCAGAGAGAGAGAGATAAAGAGGTCTTCCATCTGCTGGTTCACTCCCCAAATGGCTGCAATGACTGGAACTGGGCTTGTCTGAAACCAGGAGCTGGGAACTTTTTCCAGGTCTCCCATGCTGGTGCAGGGGTTCAGAATTTGGGCCATCTTCTGTTTCCCAGGCCATAGCAGAGAGTAGGATTGGAAGTGGAGCAGCTGGGCCTTGAACTGGAGCCCATATGGGATGCCAGCACTGCATCCCATACTTCCTATGCACAGCACTGGCCCCTACCATTTAGTTTTTTTTTAAATTTTTCCCAAATAGATCTTTTATTTAATGAATACAAATTTCATAAGTACAGCTTTAGAAATATAGTTATTCTTCCTACCATACCCACCCTCCCACCCACACTCCCATCATCCTCCTCCTCCTCTCTTTCCCCTTCCCAGTCCCATTTTCCACTAAGATTCATTCTGTTAACTTTGTACATAGAAGACCAACTCTATACTAAGTAAAGATTTCAGCAATTTGCCCCCCCCCAAACTGCTTGACATCAAGTTTTACAATTAACTCATAATACAACTCATTAAGGACAGAGGTCCTGCATGGGAAGTTAGTGCACAGAGATTCCTGTTGTTAATTTAACAATTAACACTGTAATGTATGATGTCAGTGACCACCCCATGAGCTTGACATGAGCTGCCTAGGCTATGGAAGCCTTTTGAAACCACAAACTCTGTCAGGATGTAGACAAGGCCATAAGCAAAGTAGAAATTCTCTCCTCCCTTCACAGAAAAGTACATCATTCTTTGATGGCCGCTTCTTTCCCCTGGGGTCTCACAGAAGTCCTTCATGTAGGATACTTTTTGTTACAGAGTCTTGGCTTTCCACGCCTGAACTGCTCTCCGGGGCTTTTCAGCCAGACCACGATGCCTTAAAGGCTGATTCTGAGGTCAGAGTGCTACTTAAAACAGCTGTGTGGACTGCTTCCCATGTTGGAACATTCTCTTCTTTTTATTTCTATCTATTATTATTTCCAGACACTTGATCCTATTTATATGATCTTATTAACATTTAATCTTTTTTTAAAGATTTATTTATTGATTTGAAAGTCAGAGTTACGCAGAGAGAGGAGAGGCAGAGAGAGAGAGAGAGGTCTTCCATCTGATGGTTCATTCCACAATTGGCAATGGCCAGAGCTGCGCCAATCTGAAGCCAGAAGCCAGGAGCCAGGAGCTTCTTCTGGGTCTCCCACACAGGTGCAGGGGACCAAGGACTTGGGCCATCTCCTGCTTTCCCAGGACCTAACAGAGAGCTGGATTGAAAGAGGAGCATCTGGTAACAGAAACGGTGCCCATATGGCATGCCAGCACCTCAGGCAGAGGATTAGCCTACTGTGCCACAATGCTGGCTCCTCCACTTTTTTGATGTAGGTACCAGTTGCTATAAACTTTTCTCTTAATACTGCTTTTGCTATATCCCATAAGTTTTAATATGTTGTATTGTCATCTTCATTTGTTTCCAGAAATTTTTTGATTTCTCTGTTGATTTCTTCTATGACCCACTCTTTATTCAGGAGCATGTTGTTCAGTCTCCATGTCCTTGCATGTGTTCTATAGACTCCTGAGTTGCTGATTTCCAGCTTCATTCCATTGTGGTCCAAGAAGATGCATGGTATGATTCTGATTTTTTTTTAATTTGCTGAGACTTGCTTTATGGCCTTCTGTGTGGTTAATCCTAGAGAAACTTCCATGCACTGGAGAGAAGAATGTGTATTCTGAAACTGTAGGGTGAAAAGTTCTGTAGATATCTGTTAAGTCCGTTTGGTCTACAGTGTCAATTAACTCCATTGTTTCCTTGCTGATTTTCTATCTGGTTAATCTGTCCATTGCTGAAAGTGGAGTATTGAAGTCCCCTATTACAGTTGTATGAGAATCTATGTCTCCCTTTAGATCCCTTAACATTTATTTTAAATAACCAGGTGTCCTGTAATTAGGTGCATGTATGTTTATAATAGTGACATCTTCCTGTTGAATTGATCCCTTAATCATTATATAGTGC